TTTTTTTTTTTTATTTTCTTTTTTCGCTTCCCTCGCTCCTTATGCACGGTCGCGCCTCTATTATTTCGCTTTCTATCACTTTCACTGGACCGATCGGGACAGGGCCGCTCGTTAAAATCGTATCAGCGCACCTTGCGTTGCTTTGACCCCGGTGTCTAACGTTGCCTGGCATTGCGACATTTTCACACCTGTCCACTGATTATTGATGACTTTTAAACGAAATTAACGGCGCGAAATTAATGGATTCGCTGTTCCGGCTACAGCGTACTGAAAGCTACTTAGTTAGGCTAGTCTGAAACGAACGTTATGAACTCGATTACCATCATTTTCTAACACACTCGTAACTGTAATTTACGTCTGCCAAACGTATTTTTTTGACGAGAGAGGACAAATTATCTATCCTTTCGCGCAGGTATAATTATCGGTTCCAAAGAGGTAATGCAGTTCTTGGCCACTGATTTAGAATCACTTACAATTTTCGATGTTTTACGCGTTCTTGATCAAACTGACCAAGGGTTTGAACGAATTTTATTCAACTATTAAGAAATTACACACTCATAATTTTTGTCATTGAGTTGTTCCTAATTAGAATTAAGAAACAAACGATAATTTATTCATTGTATTAGAAATACTTAAGTTCTTTTAAATTTCATGAAATTATAGGGTATTGTGTTTCATAAAATCTAGATGGAAGACACAATGATGAAGAACTATTTTGCAAAATCTTGGAATTTTCTTCTACAGCAATATAGTTTTTCAATATTAACTGATTTAAAAAAAAATAGAAGCAAATTAAATGTTGCATTAACAACAATAATGTTCCAAGAAGCCTATGAAAACAAATCCTTGGAATTTCTTTTCTTAAACAGCTAAAATGATTAAAATTGCTAATGTTAGATAACTGAAATTCGGGATAAATTTGATTTTATTTTGGTTTTATTACTCTACAGTCTCCGTGATAAAAACTGGGAATAAAATTGAGTTAAATTAAATTTACTGTTATGGTTCCAAATAATACCAGTCAAGAGTCGAAGAATAACATTTGTTGATATAAATTAACTGGGAAAAAAAGCTACGAATGAAATAAAACGATAAAACGCACCGTTGATTCTTAATGAGTTAAAATACGAACAAGTTTTGTAACTGCAGTCGGAAAAAATAAGACATAGTACTATATAAAATAAGAATGGACAAACGTTTTGTCATCGTCTAGCAACTCACAAGTGTGTATCTTTTCGCATACCACGAGGAATTATTGAAACAGTATTTGCGTCAGGACATGAAGGATTAACATATATATGCGTAATACTGTGTATACTTGCTCACGAACGTGCATATCTCGGTAGCTAATGAAATTTCTTATTTTATTGTAAAAAATTTATTGCTTTAAAGTATTAAATTTATTGCTTTAAAATCCTTTAAATTTATCAAAAAAAAAAAAAAAACAAAACCGTATAAAACTGAGAGAGTGATCCTAATTCAATGGCCAGGGACTGTGGAACAAATCGTGTTGAATCCGTGCAACGCTGCCAATGAATCAACCGATGGACAGGATCGATGGATGGACGATAGAGGCGTGTCAGTGGGTGTAATGGCGAGGTAAACTCGAGGCCCGATTTACAAGAGAGCTCGCGATGCAAGGGAGTGTAACGGCTTCAAGGACGACCGTACATACACGCCAGCTCTCCCAGGAAACTGCTAACCGACATCCGCGCGAGGACACAGCCGCGTGCATCTGACTCTCTCGGCTCGGTTGCATCGGCAAAAACCAGTTGCTGGGCTGCGCGGCCGAGTAGCCATTCGATACGATTTCTCGCCGTCGCGTCGTTCGGTCCACGATAGACTTTGAACCATTCTCGAAAGCGTTTCAGATCTATCCTGGATCGAAGCTGAGAATTTAATGGCCTTCTGCAGCTAATCCATCGGGGAGCAAGCAATAATTTATCATGATATTACGGACACTTCGATTTCTTCTTGCCTGCCGTAGAATCATAAAGTTTAGCTTAGGTTATGTCTGTCATGCGGATCCTTGCAATTCCCCCCTATATCATTTTTTTTTTTTTTTTTAATACGGACTGATTGAAAGGGGTTGCAAATGAAATGCGTTAAGAAGCCTACAGAAACGAATAAAAAAATTAAATTTCCGATTTCTACAATTCTTCAGAGTACTTCAGAGAGGGATTTAACTCTCTGTGAATTTTCTCTCTCTAAATTGGGAATACCTTGGAAATTATCGTTGAACAATTTTTAACGAGTTTCCGGAGTTTAAGAGATCTACAAAAGAAAGTAGAAAATTAAAACTTCGGTTTAATTTAGCATCTGGAAGGGAATTCTGCGAACTTTCTTTCCAAGCTGTAAACATTTTAAAATTTATCGAACAATTTATTATAGAGGATAATGCTATAAATACTGTAGCCTATTCCATGATCCTGAACGTTTCAACTATCGTTGAAATCAAAGGCAAGATAGTTGCGTTCTTAAGTATTTCCGATTCGTCGAGGCAGAGGTGCCTGGAAGCGTCTTATTCCCATCTCTAGAAGCGAGACGAATGGTCGATTAAAAGGGAGAGGAGCGACCTTGGTGTCGCGCGGACGAAGAGGGATAAGGGATAAGCCCAGCCGCGTTCCTGACCTAAAAAGCATCTTCCTTTTTCTCCAGCCGGTGAACATACACGCGAGGACTCGTTCCGCGAATTGCGTGAAATTACGTGAGTCGAATATAAGCCCGGGACAATAAATGTCCTCTCGCATTGTATTTTACAATGCTGTCAAACATGATATAACGCAATCTGTTCAGTGAATGAATGCTGCTCGTGTCACGCGAAAAATTGACTAAAGAGCGTTATCAAGCTCTCTTCCTGTATTGAAGTATACACAGTAGCCCTGGATTTTCCTTGTCATCTACAATTTTTACGATATTACATTCAACAATTGTCCTCATATTCCACAAGTTTAACAAGTTCTTGTTACTTGACATGTAGTTTATATTTTAATGATTTCATGGACAAATTTGTTTTTATAATTAAGTGTCCCTTCAATTCTTTGAATGTTTAAAATTATTATAAATCTTGAGGTTTAATACAAGTATATAACAAATTATATATTATATATTGTATTATAATATGTTATCCTCCTTGAACCTCCTAATAAGTAAAACAATTATTTTCTTGTTGATTATAATATTATTATTTTATTATATTATTATATTATTATTTTATTATTATAATATTATTATTATATTATTTTATTTTACTCGACTATTTATACGAATTATCTGTACAACACCTTGATACGAGCTAAACACTTGAAGAGTTAACGAAAAATATTGTATATAGATAACGAATTTCTAAACATTTAAGAGATGAGACCACAGTCAAGAGAATCAAAGTCTTCAACTTCCCAATAATGAAGAGTCGGTGAAAATTTAATAAGCCTGATCGTGTTTTTCATGGTGACACGATAATTGTGCATATTATAATAAAAGAGGAAAGACTACCATTCATTTTATTTCTTTTTCTCCTCTTTTGATTCGACTGTGACTTCTACTTTAAGATTTTTATATAATACAGAATTTTATAAAATGTGTGCAGTATTGCTTTCATTTTTCTTGCCTATCTAATCGAGGAAAGTAAATAAATATATAAAAAACCGCGTTTTCTTCAAGAATATTATCCTGCTCATTCACTGAACTGCCTTTGTTCATTCATTAGACTTTTATTCATTCATTAATTATTTCGCCCATTTTTTATTCACCTTACGCTAGATTTTTAATGAAAACTACAACTATTAATTATTAAATATTGCTAGAATGAAGCAACTCACTTATAGTAAAATCATTCAGGGGATTAAATCATAATTTACAAACATAAATTTTAACATACATGCTGAACAAGTCATCCAACGTGTTTCTTTTCGTCGAATTTCCCGTCAATATCGAAAAGATAAAACACGGGAATGTTTCCCGTGTTCTATTAATTAACCAACGATTTCTCGAAATCAACGACAAAGCGTCAATAATATTCCAACCACGCTGAATCGTAAACGCTTCCAAGGAAACTGCTAACCGAGACAGAGGGACAATTTTTCGCGATGTTCTCTCCCTTGGCGAAACGAAAGGCGAGCACCGAATGGAATCGTTACGTTCGCTACGTTAACTGCCGTTCAGAGAAGAAGCCATAAAATTCGTTTCAGTTCTCTTTTTCTGTCGGAGAGAGGTACGTGGTGGACGTTCAATTAGCAAGGTTCGTTAACAGACGTTTTCATTGCCTTCAGTAGAAAAGGAAGCACAGGAAGATACTCGAGGGAGAAAGCTCCGCTGCAACGCTCGAACAAGTTACAACGGATGAGTGATGATTAAACGAAAACTGAAAGATGATCGTCGAACACTATGGCGCGGTAATGATCTTCGCGGAGAAGGCGTGCTACGTTTGGTAGTAGTTGCTTCCTCGCCGTGTACACATCGTGCCGTGTTTAGGAACGATTCATCGATGCAACCAGGTCGGCTAGCCTAGGCTTCGCGTTCTTCCGTCATGATGCTCTAAGATCAGTGGAGCAGCTGTATTCCCTCTTGTCATCGATCTTCGTAACTCTCTGTAAATCCGGACGATCATCTCGTAGATCAAAGTTGTCCGATATCTAGAGACTTATTCGTAAAGAAATCATAATTCTCAGTCAAGAAACGTTTACACAGATTTTAAAACCTGTTGCAGAGTATAGTAAAAAAGACCAGACTGCCTCGTAATTATGCAGTGTCAGTGTTAGTCACTTCAATATTAAAGGTAACTATGTGTTGTTGAAACTGTTGGTATATCGTAGTAATTTTATTATAATGATTGTGTAACTATTCTTTCGAGTAAAAATTCAAAGACTACACAAGTTGTTTTCAATCAAAACTGCGCTGATTAGTAGATCTCTCACATATTGAGTATACGACATCCATTTTCGACCTTTGTCCCATTGCTTCCATCTTTTCCAGTAAAATCTTCCGAAGATAAAATTTCATTGATTGCTAGTGTCAAATTCCTGAACTAACTTTCCCCGCGGCAGCAATCTTGAATTCCATACGGCAAAATCTTGGAAACGAAAATTTCCACAGCCTCGGAATTCAACTAACCTGCAACTCGCCAGCTTCATCTAGCGAGCCGTGGCCATTAAATCGTCATTACGTCATTATTGAATTCCATGCTGCGGCGGTTATCGCGACCGCATCGGCTTCGATAGAAACGTCAAACATCGGCGATGGTTCGGTGGGCCGCGGGCAGTTATTCGGTGGATTTGCTACGCCAGTGTCGGCTGGCACGCAACAACAAGCCTGACTACAATAATTCCGTGTTTATGAGCGATCGGTTCCACGATCTCCGAGCGCGTCATGACAGCCACAGCGCAGAAACAGGGACGTTCCCGGTTCCCGCGAGGCGAGATCTCGAAACAGCTTCGAGAACAGCGTCGCGGAATCGGCGACGTTTTCACTCGCGGCAAGGACTTTATCAGGTTGCGCCATCGAGGCGATGCCGTGACTTTTTGCGATTTTAGAAATCGATCTTAAGGTCGATCGAACGGCCACTAGCGATTACGAGCGGAAGGAAATTTCCTTGCTCAGTGACAGACACGTATTTGACGATTGTAATTGTCTTGTGTAAAGAAAAAAAAAAAAAGGTTGCACTACGCGGTCCTCAATTGCTCAATTGTATCGATACTAGCGAAATTTTACAAGTTTTGCAAATCGCCAGTCATCGCGTATTTGTAAAATCTTTCGACTGGCAGTAATCTCTGGTTCTTGTTTAATAAATTTCAGTGCAATTGTGTTTTTGTAAGTCGTTCGATTGTGAAATTGTAAACTTCTTGATCGAAAGATTACTTCTCGAACAGATGCCAGCGGTATATACGTTCTCATTTACAAATATTAGAATACCTGCATTGAAAATTGATTTAAATTATCAAAGGAACGATTAATCGATTGCGATCTTATATTCATGCACAACAACGACGTGTGAGAATTTGTAAACTATTTCTACGAGTTATGAGAGGAATATAATGTATTAGAAATCGTACGTGTCGGTCCCCGTAATTTTCGAAAAAATTTCGTACAAAATGGATGCAGAGCTCAGGAACGTTTATTTAAAATTTGGATTGAGATTTAAAATTAACCAAGAACAATAGAAAAATTAGAAGTTTCGATTGAAGAAAAATGAATATGATAATTAGATTTTGAGTGAGAAAATATATAAAACATCCAAAATATTGTGTTTTCTATAATATTTCGCACATAAACCAATTTCCTATCGAGATTTCTTCCTTTTAATTATATTTTTAAGAATTTACATAAAAATCTACAAGAATTTACATAAAGATTCTATAGTTTCTATTTATCTTTATGTAAATTGCAAACCAGGAAATAGTCCTTAATTAATTTCGCATTATAAGTGGACCAATATTTTGAACGGACGTGTATATATTTGTCACTCATTAATTTTCTAAAATTATTAGCTGAATTATCATTAAACTGCAAATTTTTATGTGTTTCAAAAATGTACAAAATAGAGTGCTTATTATACAGGGCGGGTCAAAAATCATTTCCTATTAGAATAAATCCTACTAAAATTAATAAAATTAGTTTTTCTTATATTTTATGTAAAATATAAAAGGTGGAAAGAAACTTTTGACCCGCCCTGTACAACATTTAGTGCGTTACACTTTCCCAATTGCGTTTGTAAAAGTTTGAAATTACAAAGAAAGATCCGATTCAGTAGTCGCGGAACTGGGCTTACCAAACGTTAAACAAACTTTTCACTCTCAATTCGATAAAGTAGATAACAAATTAACGTCTCTCGCCGAATAATCAATCCGTCCCTCGAAATTAACGTCGAACACTGCACGGGAAATTAATATCGTCTTATCGTCGACGTGCAAGGATTTAAATCATCACCGAAAGGAGCGGTTAAGTGACGTGCTTTTTAATTATGTCTTCTTAAATCGGGCCATCGTCGATTCAGTTAAATCGGCAGAGGTCCCGGACATCTTCATCATACTCCGCCCTTCTCGTTGGTCAACGTTGTCAAAACATCTCTTTGCCGAGGTGTCGCAGCTTCTTAATGCAGCGTTAACGATAGCGTAAATCACGAGCAGACGCCTGAGAAACTAATGGCCGTCGCGGCGTCCGCGTCCCGACCGACTCGACCAGTCAATTATTTTCGCGCGCCACGGCACGAGAAGCTTTCGACCGAGATCATGGTACGCGCGATCGCGAGCGAGTCGGTCAATAGTTTGGCGATCGAGCGGGCGGCTCGTGTGCAGAAGATCGGAGCCGGTCGCGCGATAGCGATCTCTTGGCAGAACGGAAGGTGCTCAGAAAATTGCCAGGAAGAAATCATCGCGGATCCGTTCGGATGATTCTCGCGTGTTCGATCGTTTGACGACTCAATGCTTCCCTGTGTGGAACCGAATGAAAATACGCGCCACGTGGAGCAACTGGTTCTATGTAAAACTGACTCGATCAATTATGTATATTCACTCGAACGGCGACTCTTATGTTATACGCCCTGTAACCGGGAGTGATAAAGTTCCACTACTTTCCAAAAAATTCCCCGAAAACCGCGATAGTGACTTGTATAAGAATGTGACCGAACAAATAAAAGAGACAGTCAAAACTTATGTCTTCACTCTGTTCGACCTAGAGTTAAGCCTAGTTAGCTGATACGTCGGGAATTACTCTTTCGGTCGTAATATTTCGATAATTTCCTAGGCGTAAATCTTGATTTTTAGATTTGGTGTTAAAGGATCATTGGCGAGATAGCTACGTAAACCTTATAATCATTTCTTTCCGACTAGTCTTACCTATCTAATCATTTTATAACTTAGAGACTCACTCTGGCGATTCTACCAAACTAGTTCGTTGAAATTGTCGCGCATTTATTTTTTGGAATTCAACGAGACTGCCACCGTGATACCTGCATCGGTGACAGTTGCTTCCGATGCCAATTCACCGATTTCAAGCTACATACATGCATGATGCAACTTGCGTCATGAAATCTAGAATGTTTTAACGTGTGCGAGGGCCTTTATGTACTTTCTTAGGAAGAAATGATACGACTTAAAACAAATGTTTTATCTCAAAATATTCCGTGACTATGATCGACGACGTCTCCGGCGTTAATTCAAATTCGATCGTGGAAAAAATATTACTTTTTCGAAACCCTACGAGAATGAATTTTAGAAGCGAAATCAGTTCAAGTTGAAGATGAGTTTGATTTTACACTGTTGCGACCAGCTCGATTATATTCACGAGTTCAGTGATATAAAAAATGAAAGCAGTGACATCGTATTAGGTAAAAATCAGAATAATGACTCTGAAAGCGAAAGTGATGTTGCACGAAACTCTGACAGTTCACAGTGAACCAAGATTGAAAGAAGATTCTCGGCAATCGCGAGATCGACGTCGACCTGCTCGGTTTTGACAAAATTCGATCGAATGGAAAGCTCCGTGTGGTTCTAACAGGCACAAAAAAGATTCCAAGGTTTGTTCTTGCCGAGACAAACCAGATGGAAGACACGAAACAACTTATTGTTGCGATACTTGTCCCGATAAACCGAGAATCTTGGTGAAAGCTTTATAAATTATTATATGAAAGAATTGGACAGAAGTTGATATTACAAAATTATATTTTTAAAGGTATAAATATAAATAAAATATTAAAATATGATATTTCCATACATTCTGTAATTTGTGTTTTGTAAAATCGCAATTTCATGTTCGCTGTAAGATGCGCAAAATCGCATCTCGAGCGCAAAGGGTTCAAACCTTAGAGAAATAATCCTTTCAACACGATTGTGTTCAATGGTTCTTTGTTGTAGATCACCGACAGATCCCTTTCGACTGGCTAACTTTTCGACGTCGGTGCGCAAATTGATCGTAGCTCGAGGGAGCTTCTATAAATCACGACGATCGACTTTTTCGAGATAACGTCCGATTCAACTAAGACCGTTACTATACAGCGTTACGAACGAGTCTACCATGCACGAACGATTCCGAACGTCGTTCGAGCTGTTGCATAAAAATTCAGTTACGCAAATGATATGACAACAATGGATCGGGGATCTCGCGATCGATGATCAACGAACTAGGAAACGAAGGCTGCTTTTTTGTTGTTTCCTGGCGAGTTTTCTTGCCGAGTGACGAGCCATTTTCAAGCGGTTCTTGCAATCGAGAGCCTGCGGACTGCCGGCGCGAGATAGCGTTCGAGAGTTCGAGAGAAAGAACGTGTCCTTCGTATCACGGTCGAGTCGATCGATCCTACTCGAGATCCTCGAGCTTGAAAAGAGATTCTGTCTTTTTGCCCAGTTCGTTCGTT